AACTCTGCGATCGCGAGAGAGGCGGAAGGGGGAACCCCGAAGGAACCAGAACAGCCGTCGAAGCCAAACCCGACCCGGCGGGTAGACCACCATCGCGAAGTTCAGGCTCCCGCACAGCCCCTCGAGCAACTGCCGGGTGACCCGAGGGCCCTCCAGAAACAGACGAAGGCGGGACCGCAGCCGCAGGAGAGACTCTGGAGGGAGAGACAAGGAGGCGGTTCGAGAGTCCCACACGAGACCCAGCCAAGTCCAAACCTGAGAGGGAACCAGATGGGACTTCCTCCAGTTCACCAAGAACCCGAACTCGGCGAGCTGGGAAAGAACCAAATCCCTGGCTAGCAAGCAAGCTGACTGGCTGGGAGCCCAAACCAGCCAGTCGTCGAGGTAGGCCAACACCCGAACACCTAGGAGACGCAAACGAGCCACCACAACCCGTGTAAGGCGCATGAACACGCGAGGTGCCAGGTTCAACCCGAACGGGAGACAACGAAAGCGGTAACTCAGACGCCCCACAACAAAACCGAGGCAGTCCCTGAACCGCGGATGAATCGGGACATGCCAATAAGCGTCCCGGAGATCCAGGGACACCATCCAAGCTCCCGGCTCCAAGAGGAGCCGAACCTGAGACAGCGTAGTCATCCGAAAGGAGGGGCAATGAACCCAGGGGTTCAGACGGGACAAGTCCAGAATGAACCGCAGGTCCGCGCAGTCCCGTTTTGGAACCGGAAACAGACGGGAAACCCATCTGAGGGACGACGTCGTTTCGACGACGCCCAAGCGTACCCACTCCAAGACGACTCGACAGAGCGCAGGGGAAGAAACCTGCCCTGCCAGCCCCGACCCCCCAAAGGGGGGAGGGGCCACCCAACGCCACCGCAGGCCACGAGACACGACCCGAAAGGCCCATGAATCGTGGGACCAGGCGCGGGCGAACAGCGCAAGCCGCCCCCCCATCGCCCCGTCAAGGGGGCAAACCGCGAAAGGGCCGGCGACCCTTACGAGACCCAGAACCCCGCACGGCGCGAACACCGCGCCGACCAGACGAGGGAGGGTCCGCAGGAGGAGCCAACCCCAAACCTGACACCACAGGCCTACCACGACGAGAGGAACCCTGGCACGACCTTTCCAGGAAGACCCACCCCGGGACCCCCGGAAAACCAACAAGTCCGACATCGGACGACAAGCCGCCTAAGAGCCAGAGCCCAAGCAGATTCCATGGAGGAACCCAGCACAGCCTGCCGACACGTGAGACGGGAAGCATAGAACAGGGAAACCGCATCCCGCAAAATCTGAGTGAACAGCTTCAACAAGGCAGCCGACGAACGCGCAGCCGAGGACAAGGTGCCGGACCCCGGGACGGACCCAAGCGTCCCCACATCCTCCATGAGCCAATCCGAAGACAGCTCCAGGAGGGAAAAGAACCGCAAGGCCGAACACAAAAGGCCCCGGGCGCGCAAGTCCTCCGCCACGAGCGCCGCCGAAAGGGAGGGAACCTGCACATGGAGCTGAATAACGCCCACATCGCGGGGAAGGGCAGGGGCAAACAAGCACTCATTCAGGTACTCAAGTTCACCCCCAGGAAAACCTGAAGCACCATGGAAGCTTCCCGCCACTCCAGCGTGCGGGAACGACAGAAGGAATGCCAGGAATCCAGACCAAACAAGGGGCAGTCTGCTAGCCAGGACGACTCCGGAACCTCGTAACGGAGCCAGAAAGGGAACGAAGTCCCAAACCTGAACGTGGACGGATTCATTTCCGAGGCATAATCGGGTCACGCAGGAGGTAAGCTGCAAAGGCCGCTCGCACCACACCAGGTTGGATGCGATAAGCCGAAAACCTCCGGAAGGACGGAACCGACGTACCCGGGGAACACGGAACCGAACCCGGGGAGGGGCCGACACCAAATCCAACTCGTACGCAGAGGGGGGAAAAGAAAACCCCACTCCTTGTAACAATAAGCCCCGCTCAGTGGGAAGAAAAACCCAGGCGGGGTCCAGCGGGGCCCAAGGCCACCAAGTCAGCCCCTCCCCAGCCTCGAGGTCCGTCACCACAGGACCCGAGGCCGAGTCCTCTCCCCAAGCCCCGACCCCACTAGACAAGGACGGAGCAGCCGGAAAAGCTGGAGGAAGGGGGGCCCCACTGGTCAGACCCTGAAGCTTCGGCCGGGAGACAAGACTCGAATGCCTCTGCCGCCCCCCCGGGAAGGGGCAACCCCCGAAGCTGCCCGAGTCTCGAGATCAAGTAACCCCTGCTCCGACCCCGAAACCCTCAGACGCTTCGGGGCCGGAAGCAGGGGCGGGGGACCAGAACAAACAGAAGGGGAAGGACGAGGAGGTGCGGACTGAACCAGGATCGAAGCGACCCCCACCCCCAAGTCCGGGTCTCGAAAAGCAAAGCGGGGCAGCCCCAGGGCATCCGGGGAAGCAACCAACCGAGCGCGTTGCAACAGACGAAACCTAGACTGCAACGCACGTGCCGCCTGTACCCGAACAGAATCATCAGAGGATTGGGTAAATTGAGTCACAAGCAAGCAGCAACACTCACAGGACTCAGGGTCGAAAGTATCACCGACCCAACAGGCAGCGTGGCAGAGGCAAAAACAATGAGGGTCACCCTGAGACAAGGGGACCGAGCAACCCTCAAACTCGCACACAGCGAGTGGGGACTCCGGGGTCACATCCATCGGACCCACGCACCCCCTAGGGGATTCCCAGGGTCCTGAGCGTTTACTTTAAGAGGACTCGCGCTCAGGTAGTCCCAGGCAGGGTGCTGCAAACCGGCGCCCAAAACTACCAAGCAAACTTCTAAAGCTGAACCCCAGGGACGTGTACTCTCACGGGGACCTAGCAGGGGGCGCCACCGAGGAAAACAGTGGAAGGGCAAAAACAAACTGAATAAAATGACAGAACCCCCCACCAGGCAAAAACAAAAAGAAAAACAAAACCCCGCAAGAGGACAGCGAACCCCAAGGAACAGAGCCGGCCGCGATGTCGGGAAATACAAGCTGAGCAGCACCCTGCGCCCCTACCAGTGCAAACTGCCTCTTACCTGCCGGGAACAAGGGAGAACAGAACACCCAAGAGCCCAACAGGCGGCCGAAAAACCGAAAGGTAAAACGGACCAGCAGAGGCAGACCCCGAGGTGCCTGTGGAAGGTGGCCCCAAGCCCCAAGGGCAGTACTTACAGGGCACCTAGGGAAGGCAGCCCTAGGCGCATGCAGCCCGAGTACTGAAGATAACTCCTGGCTCTCGCACCCACAAAACTAACACCACATGCAAAGCACAGTGCAGTAGCGACACCGGAGCCAGAGCACACGACCATCGCCTATAGCATCAGCCTCAAGAACTGAGGTGTGGGTAGCCGGCGCGGGGGGTCTGGGGCTCCCCCTTCCCCCTCCCGGGGAGGGGGGAGCTGCGCAGACAGCGGCGCGGCAGTGTGTGACGTCACACTAGTTTGCTTGTTTTCGGTTGGGGAGTTCTATCCACTAGTTCGGTTTTTGGTAGCCATTTTAACCAGAATAGGGGTTTGTTTTGGGGCGCTTACCTTTCTGGGTGCCTGTTCCGGTCGAAGGCAGACATAGAATGCTTCCAACTACACGGGGGCTTCTATAGGCCATTGCTCCCCTTGCCTCTCTGAGGGGGCCCGGTTCTGGCCGTGGTCCCCGGTAGGCCTAAGAACTCCATACACATGACTGATGCCAAAGTCTGACATTAGCATATCAGCCTGGGATAGCTCCGGGGAGCCGACGGGGCTCCCCCCAGAAAATAGCACAACTCTCAAGAGTGCCTTTAGGCGCTCTGCGCATTTTGATTGTTAAGCATTTCAGTTATTTTCTTTTCTTCTTTTGTAGTAGTGTCGTCTGCATTCTCTTTCTACATTAGACCTCTTTCTGGCTTTTCTCAAAGCCAGTATGAGTGCCTTTAGGCGCTCTGCGCATTTTGATTGTTAAGCATTTCAGTTATTTTCTTTTCTTCTTTTGTAGTAGTGTCGTCTGCATTCTCTTTCTACATTAGACCTCTTTCTGGCTTTTCTCAAAGCCAGTATGTTTCAGGCAGACTTTATATGCTTCAGAAGTAAATTTTTCTATTCCTTGTGTAGGATTTTTATTACTTAGGACAGTTTCCCATTGAATGCAGGCGATGAGTCACAATAACGTGGCTAAAGTATGATGACAAGACCACACACTAGAATGTGAAGGGACGACGACGTTTCAGTCCGTCCTGGACATCAATCGACTTGAGAAGGGTCCAGGACGGACCGAAACGTCGTCGTCCCTTCACATTCTAGTGTGTGGACATCCCATTGAATGTTTGTAGGTTCCCTGTTTATTTTCTTCCAGTGTATACTTTTATTATTAAAACTGAATTTACTGAATAACTCCCTCTCGCTTGATCACTGTTTTAGGTCTTTTCTGAGTATTGATGGTAGTTAGCACTTCAATGATCATGTGATCTGAGTATGTGATATCCGAGATCGTAATTTCCCTTTTTATGTCTTCATTGTTTGTGAAGATCAGATCTAGAATATTTTCATTCCTAGCTGGCTGTGATATCTGCTGGTTGAGTGAAAATTTGTCACAGAATCTTAGTGGTTCTCTAATCTGTGTTTGGTTATGTCCAGATAGATTTCCTGGTATAATATTATTGCTTGCTATTCTCTATCTTAGGCTAGTCAGGTTGAAGTCACCTAGGAAGATAATATTAGGTATTGGGTTTGACAAATTATCAAGGTTATTCTCTACTTTGTTTATCTGTTCTGTGAATTCATCAGCCATTGCATCTGGCAGTTTGTACATTTTCCTTCGTGAGGGGTGATCATAACAATACCTTGCTTCTTGCACCTCTGTGAGGCGGCCAGGTTCTGGCTCTAGTCTCTGGTAAGCCAGTAAGAACTCCTAGGATTGATGTGACTCGTGTGTGTGCTATCTCAGTGAGTTAGCTTCAGGGAACCGCTCTTCAGCCCCTCCAGAAAAGGTACAAAATTTAATAAATTACACTCACCAGTTCGAAGTGTCCAGAGCCAATCTGGGTACTCGGAGTCATCCTTTATTTTAACGTCTTCTCTATTCTCCTTCACTGGATGTGACCCACATACATAAGTAACCAGTTTTACTGGATCTGTCTCCACTGGCAGATGCTAGAAAATAAAATTTACATAGGATAAGAGAGAAAGCAGTGAAATCCTGACAGAACAGTATAAATTCATGGTCAGAAACCTGATAAATCCAGAAACAGCACTACTGTATTTTATGAATGCAGTCCATCCACCATTTCAAATTCTATATATAAATGCAAAATATAATAAACAAAATTTGCCTGTATACCCAGGCATGGGAGGTCTATTTTAAAAACATACTCGTGACACAACTGTACACTCAGTAGCAAAATGTTAAATAATGCTTGAATGGAAATGTAAGTGTACCAAAAAACCAGCGTTGAATGTAATGAAACGCCATTTTCTGGGTGAGACCTGGAGGCTGCCCGGAGCTATCCAGGCTGATATGTAACTATTAGCTTTCTGGCATTAGTCAAAGTGCATGGAGTTCTTGCCTACCGGGGACCATGAGCCAGAACATGGCCCCCTCAGAGAGGCACGAGGAGCAATGGCCTATAGAAACCCGTGTGGTTGGGAGCATTCTGTGTCTGCCATTGACTGGGTCTGGCACCCAGAAAGATAGACACCCCAAAACAAACCCCTATTCTGGTGAAAATATTACTACCGAAAGCCGAATGAGTGGAAAGAACTCTCCAAAGAAAATTAGCAAACGAGTATGACACCATCATGTATGTTGCCGTGCCGCTGTCTGCGCAACCCTTTACCCCTCCCCGTGGAGGGGTAAAGGGCCTTTACCCCGTTTTCCCCCGTGGAAAATAATTGAGGGGCTGGTCCCAAACCTGCACACAGAAATAACACCACATGAGACCAGAAGACATGGCAGGATGTGCAGAATACCCCCGTTGAAAAGCAGAGGTGCAACAGGTACTCTGAGAGAGAACTCTATCAACATCAGAGGCCCGAGACTGTTCAACACGCTTCCACTACACATAAGGGGCATAACTGGCAAACCCCTCACAGTGTTCAAGAGAGAACTGGATAAGCACCTCCAAAGGATACCTGATCAACCAGGCTGTGACTCATACGTCAGGCTGCGAGCAGCCGTGTCTAACAGCCTGGTTGATCAGTCCAGCAACCAGGAGGCCTGGTCGACGACCGGGCCGCGGGGACACTAAGCCCCGGAAGCACCTCAAGGTAGCCTCAAGGTAGCTCCCCAGAAGTGGGGAGGGGGAAGGGGGAGCCCCAGACCCTCATGCCGGCGATCCAACTGGCAGTTCTTAGGCTGGATGTCAAAAAATATGAAAAGACCGCCGACTGGAGGGAGGAAGGGATGCTGGGGAGCCTCCGAGTTTCACCCAGAAAAAGGCGTTTCATTACATTCAATGCCGGTTTTCTGGAGGGGGAGCTCTGTTGACTCCCCGGAGCTAACTACCCAAAGACAAGGAAAAATGCAGGGACTTACCCGGGAGGCAGTCAGTCCATTCCTCAATGCGAAGTTGAGACAACTGGCTGCAACCGCCGACCCAATGCAACGCAGGCCCCTACCAGGCCCAGGGACACTGACACGGTAGCGAGTGGCCAGGACCCTGTTTGACCTCCAAAAAGCCCGCGCCCGAATGTCAACCCAAGACATGTTGCCAAAGACGGCACCCAAAGCAGCTAACTTACGAACGTCGTGGGCATGGGGAATGACCGCAGACCGGCTGGACTTAACACTTTCGCGCTTTGGGCAAGCGAGCATTTCTCCTATCCTAGTGGTTTTGGACGTTCCGCGGGAGCTCGTGGGAGCGCGTGGTAATACTGAAAAATGTATACTCTTTTCAACTTTGTCACCTTAATTCTCGTCCAAGGTTTTCCAATTTGATATCAATGTGTTCGCAATAGAATTCTCTACACGATTAAATGCATATGAAGTCCAGAAACCTGGCTTACCACCCGCAGCAAACAGAGAAATTGAGAGAAAGTTACCCGGGAGCGCGCAAGAGCGATAAAATATGTACACTCTTTTTCACTTTGGTCACCTCAATTTTCGTGCTAGGTTTTTCATTTTGGTATCAATGTGTTTGCAATAAAATTCCCAACAGGAGCATATGCATATAATGTAAAAAACCGTGGCGTGCTCCACCCGCCGACGTGATGAAAGTAGGTGATGAGAGCAGGGTAGAGTGCACGGCTGTCCATTACAGAGTGCGGTAATACTGAAAAGTGTATACTCTTTTCAACTTTGTCATCTCAATTCTCATCCTAGGTTTACCAATTTGATATCAATGTGTTTGCAATAGAATTCTCTACACGATTAAATACATATGAAGTCCAAAAGCCCAGCGTACCACCCGCACAAAACAAGGTGAAAGCAAGTTACCGAGGAGTGCTAAAGAGCAATGAAATTTGTACACTCTTTTCACTTTGGTCACTTCAATTCTCATCTTAGGTCTTTCATTTTTATATCATTGTATTCGCAATAGAATTCTCAACAGGAGTATATGCATATATAAAGTAAAATAAGCACAGCGTACCACCCACAGCAAACAGAAAAAGTGACAGCGCATTACCCCAGTGAGTGCGAAAAGGAATAAAATGGGTTTGCTCTTTTTAACTTCGTTACCTCAATTCTGGTCCTAGGTCTTTCATTTTGGTATCAACGTATTCACAATGAAATTCTCTAGAGGACTAAATGTATATAAAGCCCAAAAGCCCGGTGAGAAAGTGAGAGCGTGTAACCCGGGAGCGCGCAAGAGCAATAAAATGTGTACTCTCTCTACACTTTGGACATCTCAATTCGAGAATTGAGATGTCCAAAGTGTAGAGTGTGTACACATTTTATTGTACAAAGTGTAGAGAGTGTACACAAAGTGTAGAGAGTGTACACATGTGTACACATCCTAGATTTTTTATTTTGGTATCATTGTGTTCACAATAGAATTCCCTACAGGAGTATATGCAAATATAATGTCCAAAAGCCCAGTGTACCACTCACAGCAAATAGAGAAAGTGACAGCGTTACCCCAGTGAGCGCTAATAAAGGGCAATAAAATGGGTATACTCTTTCAACTTTGTTACCTCAATTCTGGTCCTAGGTCTTTCATTTTGGTATCAAGGTATTCGCAATGAAATTCCATACAGGAGTATATGCACATAATGTCCAAAACCACGGCGCGCCCCTCCCGAAGCCACCACCAATTTGACGCCCGCCAATTACTGCCGAGGACTGAATGCTGAGTCCTTACCGGACCTTCCTCTATTTAACGGAGGACTCAATGCCGAGTTTTCGCCAAGCGAAAGTGATAAAAAAAATGTTTCTCCTAGTTAAAATACCAGTTTGTTTTGTGTTTAATTTAATATTTCATTTGTAAGTGTTTGAGAGTATGTTGAGCCAAGTATTAGTAAATGTGTATGATTGTGTGTGTGTGGAAAGTTTTCCCGCGCATTTTCGCATCAACCATCCATTCCGTGGACAGGGGAACGAACCGGGAAAGGCCATTCGCCAGGACATTGGACACCCCCCAAACGTGAACCACCAGGAGAGCCAAACCCCGAGAACTCGGCAGGCGAGTCACCTAAAGCGACCAGCCCCAAAGAGCCAAGGACCGCATCGAACCACCCTCAGTTCAGGCAATGAACCACTGGGGAACAGTCTGAATGGAGCCAGATCGATTGCGAGTGACCCGAACCCTCTAGAGTGACATCCACACAGCCGCAAACTCCCGCACCGTGCTGTGAGCCTGACAGAAGAACGGACCCCAGTGTCCCTGGCCAGCCTGGTGAGCACTGGTCACAAAACCCCAGCCCAGAGACGACACTTTCATGAATACATCAAGCGAGGGCTCGGGTAGGCGCCAAGGCACTGAACCCTGATAAACCCGAAGAGGAAGCCGGCGACACAGCTACTGATGCAAAGTCCCCGGAGGCTGAACTCAGCAGTCGTAAGAGAGACGGAAGGGACGTCCCCAAAGGAACCAGAACAGCAAAACCACACCCGACACAGCAAGTAGACCATCGTGGCTAAGTTCAGGCTCTCGCACACACCCTCGAGCAACCGCCGCATGACAGGAGTCCCGCAGAAACAGACGAAGGTGGGAACGCAGGCAAAGCAGGGCCGCCGGAAGAAGAGACATGGAAGCGGTCCGAGTGTCCTATACAAGACCCAGCCAAGAGCGAACCTATGTGGGAACCAGATGGGACTTCCACCAGTTCACCAGGAACACAAACCCGGCGAGCTGGACAAGAACCAAATCCCTGGTGAGTAGACACACGGACTGGCTGGTAACCCAAACCAGCCAGTCATCGAGGTAGGCCAGAACCCGAACACCTAACAGACGCAGGTGGGTCACCACAACCCAAGTAAGGCGTGTGAAAACATGAGGCGCCAGATTCAAGCCGAATGGAAGGCAACGAAAGCGGCAACCTTGCCGCCCCACAACAAAACCGAGCGAGTCCCTGAACTTCGGATGAATCGGGACGGGCCAATACGCATCCTTGAGGTCCAGGGACACCATCCAAGCGCCCGGTTCCAACAGAAGATGGACCTGGGACAGAGTAGTCATCCGAAAGGAGGGGCAATAAACCCACGGGTTCCGACGGGACAAGTCCAGAATGAACTGCAGGTCTGCGCAGTCGCAACCGCGAAGCCTCCCCCTATCACCCTGTCAATGGGACGAGCCGCGAAACGGCCGACGCACCTTATGAGAACTAAGCAGCGCACAGGGCCAACCAGAAAAAGACGGAACCGAAGGACCAACATCCCACAGAAGGGTAACAGTGAACAAACATGCACCGAGATGCTCAAATTCACCCCCTAGGAAAATCTGCAACGCTGTCTGAGCCTCCCTCCGCTCAAGCGTGCGGGACCGACAGAACGTGTTCGAAGCCTCCAACGAGAAGAGCGGACAGTCTGCTAACCAGGACGACTCCAGAACTTCATAACGAACCCAGTACAGACACGAAGATCCATATACGTATTAACGTGGATCCATCATGAAAGCATAATCTAGGTCCTACAGGAGGTAAGCCACAAGAGCTTCCAGCAACACACGTGACGGAACATAGGAAGCTGAAAACCACCGGAAGAACGGGACCAAAGA